ATGATATAACTAATAACACAGTATTACAGAAATGTTTTTACAACAAAAATATTCCAATATTATTTTCGCGCAATATGCTGTTGAAAAATTATTTATAGACAAAACAGTAAGAAATTTTGAACTAAACCACAAAGACATGAAAGAAATGAAATTTAAAACCAGTATAATCCGGAAACTTCCCAATTCCTATCCCTGCTCTTTCCAGATTCCTGAGTGAATCCCGAATTGGGCCTGACGTCTGAGGAAGTCCGTAAATAGTATTCTCCTGATCAGGTATAAACTGAGGTGGGAAAAACTTGCCCATTGCTTCCTGCGAGAAAATGCCAAGACTGGATGGCGCTGCAAAGCTGCTTCAAGAGCTATACATGCTGGTATAAATATAGCTTTGTATACAGTTTTGTAGAGCTGTAGATGGGGCGATGGTTAGGCACTGTTTAGCTGGTCACGTGGCTTAAAGCAACGAATCTAATGTCATCAAGGGGTGTGGCTTGCCAACAAATGCAATAATTGAAAAGATATATGCACATAATTCAAAATAATTACATGAAATATTCAGGAATTGCTGTGCACGCTATTTACATGGTGAAGAATTGTTCTTTTAAGAACAGCAATGAAATGGCTGTTACTTTTCCGGCTGCTGGGGGCCGGAGATTGCCTGGTTGAGGGGTGGCATGTAAAGTCCATTATGTTAATAAACACAACAAAGGAATAAACAGTCTTAAAATTACTTAGTAGTCAGTTATGGTGCATTAATTAAAGAAAAAAAGAGTTAATTAAATCCGGCGACTATAGGACACTCACTACTACACTCACAGACGACCATAGTATATTTTGCACACTCATTGGCTGGCCTGATTTGTTTGTAGTAGGTGGACGGTAGAAGCTTGTCTTCGCCCAGGATTTCGTAAAATGGCTTCGTAGGACCAGAAGAATACCAAAAATCAATAGAAATACATAAAAACACCACCCTACTACCTAACGAAAATCAGCGTGTTTCTGTTCATCCAAAATTAGCTGATGTACTATTTTAAATTAGTTAATTATAATAGTTCATCCGAAAATTCTGAATGCGACCTCTACACAACCGTTTTCTTTTCATATTATCTAATACACAAATACAAATTTAAATGAAATAAATGCAATTTAATACAGCAATTAATAAAGCAAAAGAAATAAATATATAATTTACTTATATTAAAATACAAATTAAAATGTAACAATTTACAAAATTATTTTATTTAAATTTATTTTTGCAAAAAGAATTGTTCTTAACTCAGAACAAAAAATCTTTATCAAACTAAAAAAAATGTGTAACTTTCTGTTGGAAGAACAAAAGACAGTAATTAAATAAGATAAATGTGATGCTAATGTTTGCCTGTTTGGCGCTATTGGTGATATAAATTGGCGATGGAAAGTTTTAAGTCTCCCAAATAGTGAATTTACAGTAAGATATTTTTTATTCTTAAATTTTGCATTTAAAATGCATTAAAGTAATGCAAGAAAAGGAAATAAAGGACGAATGGTACAAGAGAAAAAAAATTGTCACGCTTTGGGCTTATCCCTTGACGATTGAATAGAGTAAGCCTTCAGTTAATAGAAGTATAGTAAAGAAAAATTCTACATTAATTATATGATTAAAAATTACGCTATAAACATTTTTAAATCATCCTTCTTTATCTTTCTCTTACTTGAGCTATTACATAAAAAATTCATCACCTTAAAAAAATTTATAGGCTGTAGATCACTTCAGGCTTTTTAAACAAATTGCTTAAGAAGTTAATTGGAATTTCGTTTTCTTGTAAACTTTTAGTAAGAAGAAAAATCGCTTGCTTTTATTGTTCAATTTCGATTTATACTTTTTTAATTCTGACAATTTGATTAAAAATTGCATTTGCAATAACGTTTTTATAGATGTTGGTATTCCAGCTAATACGTTAAATTGTTGAAAAATTGAATTCTCTTCTTTTGCCAAAACATTTTACGTGACATTACAAATGCTAAGATCCAGGTAATCTACAATCAATTGATTCTTATTGGTTTAGTTTTAAACAGTTGGAGTAGAAATTGCATATTTCAATCAGATTATTATTGTTGAATGTAATTATTTCATCTGTATAACGGAATGTATATGCATATTTATTGAAAACATTTTCTAAAAGGTTTCTTTTTTTTAGAAACTTATATTCTTTAGAAATCAAAGTTTACATAAGTGAGTCGAATAAGAACTACCCATTCTAATACCATTTGTTTGTTGGTAAAGAGTGTTTGTATGATTGATAAAGTTATTAAAAAGCGAGAAATAGAGATAATCTTTCTATTTTTGTAAATTCAATGTAGTAAGTTTTTCAGGAAACAAATTTGTAAGTTCTAGAAGACTTTCATAGATTTCTTTTAGTGTAAGAGATGTGTAGAGATTTTCATTACAGTTTAAATTGTGCACCTTTAGATTCTTTAATTATTTGCAAGTTGTTATTAAAAATCCAACAGGAATGTTTGTTAGTATTGGCTTTATCAAAAATTATATTACATATTGATTTAAGCAGATTTTTAACTATATTATAAAAATTCTTCTTATAGTTACTAGTGATGTTTGCAATAAATCTAAATTTGACAAGATTTTGTAACAAAATTTATATTTGCATATAAATTGGCAAATCTGTTGTTTGCAGTATAAAGAGAAATTTTCCGTTTTTTGTGAAAAGAATTAGTTCTGTTGGTTTTTGACCTTTCTTTATTTTCTGAAATACAATAGATTGTTGAATTTTTGAACTCCTTTTCAATAAGAGAATTAGAGAACTGTTTTCATAAAACTATTGCTTGCTATATCAATTTTGGTAATTGTAAACTATTTTTTCAATTGCAAAATCTTCCGAAATAAATTTTTCTAATCTTTAATTCCTTTAAACCCTTGAATTTTATTTATATTCTTTTTGCTTTAATCAAACTGATCTAATTTTAATTTTAATATTAGTAGATTGTATATTTATTACTTATGCTTTATTAGGCAAATTTAATGTATTTCATTTTAATTTTTATTTATGTATTATTATTTCATATGAAAGAAAAGCGTCTGTGTAGCGTCTGTGTCCATTATTATTAAATAATTTAAAAAGGTTCATCAGCTAATTTTAGACAAAGAGAAACACTGTGGTTTTCATAGGAAATGGGATTCAATTGAATCTGACCTACCTCCTTTTGATAACGGTGAATCATATTTTAATTGTATTACTTTTCCTTTTTGTTTATTTTATGTATTTTAAATTATTTCTGTTTTTATGGGGGGGGTATTTCTTCTGATTTAAAAAAACTGAGTTGTTTGTATTTTTACATTTTTTATTGGGAGATTTCGAGATTATACATGTTTTAAATTTCCTTTCTTTCATATCATTGCGCCCAAAACGTTTCAAGTTCTTGTGGGTAATCATTCAAAAATATTTTCGAAAAATTTATATAAAAATTACTAAAAATACAAATTTTAAAATAAAATTCAAAACAAACTGCGAATTATATTGAATTGAAAGTAAATTTCGAATTTTGAATGAAGAAACCAAATATAAATTTAATAAAAAGATCTATTAATATAAATATATTCCAAATTTGGTTAACATAGGGGAGCTAAAATTTTGAGAGCTACATTTTTCAACTACTTGTGCGATTTTTACAATATTTGACTCAGTTTTAGTCATAGAATTGAAATACGGAAGAACTAGGTGTTATTTCAGAAAAAGTCCGATTTTGTGACAGGCTACCTATCTTAGAACAACGCTATATATAAATCTAATGTATATCATAAGTCGCACTTTTGAGACATGAATAGCGCAAATTAAATTTCATCAATCAGCCCAGTAGAACCGGAGATACAGACAGAAGTGTTCCTTTCGTTTTTGTGTGAGGTATACACGGGCACGTATGGTCATCATTGTGCATTATATGAGAGAAGAGAATATAGTGGGGTTTATAATTAACATTGAGCCATAAAACAAATTACATTTCATTTACAAAGGATCAACCAGAGTGATAGCTTACTTGAAATTTGTAGTTTTTCCGTCAGTTTTATGTCTTAATATGGAATAGGAGAGAGGATTTTCTCCTCTCGTATAAGGCCTCAGGTTAGAGAACTTTTTTCTTTGGTGCTTTGGTCATCGGTAAAACCCTTTATTCTATTCCTTATAAAACTATGCCTACTTTTATGAAAATGGTAATTTTTGCAGTTTTTAAAAAACTGAAAACGATTGAACAGGCTTATGTTATATTTTCAAGATGCTTATGTGCTCTTTACTGGACTATTAATAAAAAATCAATAAAACTAGTTTATACAGACTCCTGTTTCCTGCATTGTGCTGAAGAGATGTAATTAAGTAAAAAGAACTTCACAAGTAATTCACCATGAAAATACTGTCCAGTCTTGAAGCTTGAAAATCAAACGCTTACTTACATGGAAGCACCCCAAGTATATGGTAAACCCCATATATAAACCCATTTTACACCCAGAGTTTACAAGTCACCATCATATTCAGCTTATTGTTTGGAAAAGTGGAAAACAACGAAACATTCTAAAATACATCGCAGGTAGGAACGGGGTAGCGGATGCTGTTACCCTTAGAACCACGTATTTGGCGTTCATCTGGTCTGTTCTTGAGTCCCGATTTCTAAGTTACTACTGTGCTTCTAATTAACTAATGAAATTTAAACAATTAAGTGCTGCCCGTATCTTTTCTGGTCTGAGATAAAGATGTCGTTCAGAAATTATCATTTTGAGGCTGACTTGAAACTCTTCAACTTGGAAGACAGGCTGGCTATATAAAATACTATAACAAGCTTTATAATTATCAACACAACGAAATAACAACACTTCAACAGAACAAACCATCACCGTACATTAATAAGTGCAGAAACCATCAAAGATTTAAAAAAAAACAGTCCTTTCGCGTCCTTTCGCGTTTCGTAGTCGCATCTCAATACTTACCTAATATTCCCACTCTTTACAGTATTGCTTGAATCCCTCCGAGGGACTCTAAGGGATCCACTTTTATTTTTCTTTCTCCTGTCAACAAGAAGGATTTTGTCAATCATCTGCTTATAATATTTATCTTTTCCATTTCAGACATATATCGGAAACGTGGTAGTTTCTGTGAATCCATACAAAAAGCTGGCCCTTTACACGACAGAAGTAATCCACGCTTACCAAAGGTGCTGCATGTTCGAGCTCCCTCCACACATGTGAGTATATATTCATAAAATATATTTTCTTTCAAACACAAAAGTTCGTGCGCATATTAAAACTAAATGCGCATAAATTTTCTCTTTAACATTTTGATAACATTTTAATTTGGCATTTTTAATATGATCGTCTGCTACGTTTTTGATTTAAATGCAGAGAAAGAGATTTATTTTGGAAATGGCTCTTAAAACTGATAGATGACTCGAATTCTACGTAAATGCACTTTCCGAGGAAAAATATTCGTATCAATAAATTGCAAAGTTTTTAAAAGTGACAAAATAGTAGCATAACCACATTTTAAGACTGTTCCAACGCGAGCAACATGAAGTATCTGATCCTGAAAGAAAATTCATCGACTCAAAGATCTGTTGCATCGGAAATGGGAATGTGTTTAGACACTGTAAGTAAAAAAATTCATATATAAAGCTTCAAAATTAAAAACGATGTTCAAACCTAAAATTTATCGATTTTTCTAATAATTACTATGTAAAGGAAAACGGATAGCGGAAAATTATGTGAAAGCGTTTTAGCTGCTGATAGTTGGAAATATGTGATGATATTCGTCGAGGCATAGTTATAAGGCAGTAAAAAAGATCAATTTTCTGTTGCTCACCGGGTAAAAATTTCCGTACAAAATGGCTACATCAATATACAGAAAAGTTCCTAACGGAATTCATTACAGCTGCAGGATTTTGTATAACGGTAAATTAAAACAAACAAATAAAAAAAAACTCTTAAAGGTTTCGTATTTTGAATTACGTCCAAAGGGGCGTTTTTTAATGTTTTGTGATTTACCTTTATTTATTAAATATCATATTCTTCGCATGTAAATCATCAAATTCAGTTCAACAGCAATGTCGCAAAATAATTTTAAAATGAGCATATCTTTAGAATTTCGGATACACAGTCTCGCGCGCAGGGGATAATTTTTTTGTTCTGTACAACGGTGCCATTGCTCGCTTTGAAGTCCTTACTTTTGATAATCAAATTTTCGTTAAAGGTTTACAAAATATGAAATCGATAATAAAATAAATGCCAAATTTCAAATTTGGGCTTCCAGATGCCGATATTCGCAGGGGGATTACGTTATTGAAAACTTGATGGCTCTAGGTACCGTTGTTTTATCACAATGCGAGAAACATACATACATTTATGCAAATTCTTCATTAGTTAATTTCTTTAAATATAATATAGGGCGATAATATTTGGTGGCAACAGTTTGAAAAGTGAAACAACGCTTATAGTAAATCGACGCATAATACCAAAAATGAAAGTAATAGTCCTTCTAGGCAAATTGTTCCCCATGCTTCAATGATGCATGAGATTGGAGGATGAAAAAAATACAAAAAGTAAAAAATAGAAATTAACCTCATTACAATAACAATAACTACATTAAAACTGGGAAATGGAATAACAAATGACTACATTAAGCATTAATAATAATTATAACATGCATGAGAATTAATTATCAAAATCGTTTCTATAAAGAAACTTCCCGTAATGCTTGACTGCTGTGACTACATGACTGTGAATTTTATTTTGTTTTACAAATTTTACCACGTCAAATAAATCATCAGCCCTTAATAAAGCTATATTGTCTAAAGCAGAGTTTTTCATCAACATCCAAACATAAGCCAATCTATTAAACAGAAGGTTATCAAGAAATTTTCCAAAGATTTTTAGTATGCATATTGGTCTGAATTTAAATTTCTCCTTTGGAATAAGGACGGGGAATAAATTTCATACATGTATTGAATAAAGTTGTAAAACAATTAGGATAGGAATTAAAGAAACATTTTACGACTGCCGCCGAAACGCCATCCAATCTTGATGCACACTTAAATTTTAAACTATCGATTTATAAGGTATTTCTCCCGCCTTCCTAGCGTGCCTTCGTGGTGTAGTGGTCAGCACACTGAGCCGGTATTTTAGAGGTCCGTGGTTCAATTCCCGGCGAAGGCGATTGTTAATTTTTCATCTTGCCTGCTTCAAAAAAAATCCTATTGTCTAAAGATCCTAATGTCTCTAGATTCGATTTCGTTAAACACAAAGTCCCCTTACCCGGAAGAATTACAGTTGTTTCTATCAAATATAGTTCTTCTTTTTCATCCTTGTAAGAAAATTTCATGACTTCTATAATTATTTCCTTGGAGACAACTGTGAAATCTTTTCCTTTATAATTTTGAGGTCTAAAATGCAAAGTTCTCTTTTTAAATTTATTATCTCTCATAATAATGCCTTCTTCTGAGGGAAAACTTCATCTTAACCTCCTTTTGCCGTAATAAGAGTTTTTTTTATAGAGAGCCAGTTTTCTTTTACATTTGAATCCTCTGACGAGTTATATATCTTCACTAAAGCCCCTAACTAGGACACTTAAGCCTGGAATTCTTCTTCCATAATTCTCAAGAGATGGATACCACAAATAAATGTATTTCATATTAACCTTTTTGATTTTCAAATACTTATTTATAGCATTTATAAGGAAAGTTTTAAAATCTTCAGCAAAATTATATGCTTCATCTTTGAATTCTGAAGAGCCTGATTTTCAAAGCTTTCCAAAGCTTCTTATGTTAAAACCGATTTTCTGACATAGTCTATTTATTCTGGAAAAAATCTTAAATGTCTCATCTTATCATTTCCAAAATCGTTCACGTTTTTACATTTTAAACGCAAATAGTTATGGCCACTCAAGGAGTCCATATTCATGATGTCAAACTCGAAAGAGTTCAAGCCGAACCATCAGAACTTGTAACTAAATCCGTATAGCCCACTCAAAAGGTGGTAGTGAGTCAGGTCTATTCAATATAATCACGTTATTATCATAAAATCTTAAATTAAAAGTCCCCTATGATCGTTAAAAGGATCTCCTAATTGGCATGTTTTCCATTAAAATCTCCAACATTGATAAAATTTTAATGCATTCAAAAACATCTGCACTCTTCGAACCAGTTGATCCAGAATAAAGTTGCCACTAATCAAACTTGGATGTTTTTTTAAATTTTTGAATTTTTTCTTTCTTCTATCAGTAAATATTTCTGAGATCGAACGTACAAAAATGAAACTTGTTAGATAAAAGTTCTTATCTTTAATATTTATGTCCAAAAAGATTAAAAATAACACCAGAAGTAACTTGAATTTTGACGATATTTCTTGAGAGCTTCTAAAGATCTCTGCAAAATTATAACATTCTGCAAAACATATTATATATTCTTTACAGGTTGAAATATATTTTTATAAAGCCCATAAATGAATTTATAAACAATTCTTTTATCATTTTTTCTGCATATTTCTTTTCCATTTATCTTATTACTAAAAATAAGTAATTAGCTTATTACTAAGACATAAAATTTCATATACCCTTTAAGAATTTCAAATTTCCTGAAAATTATCGAATAATATTTAAAGAATTCAAACAATATGCAAAATGTGAGAAGCAAAAACATAGAGGAAAAACCTGGTTTCACCTCAACATTGCCAAGTAAATTAACTGAAAAGTCTAAATTTATTTACAGTTTGAAAGCCTTCTGGATGTGTACTGAAATAGTTTCTTGAAGACAGATCTAAAAAAGCGTATTTAGAATGGAATACAAACATGTGACAGTATTCCCTGAAGGCAGAGTTCATTCGTAGCAACAAGAAACAAAATAGAATTGAAATTCTTCATGAAAAAATTAAAGGTTATGTAATTTAAATAATCTCTGTAAAATCTGAACAACTGGAAGGAATTTCGGCATCTCCCTTGCACTCTACCGTGATGCAAATGGTTAGTACGTCAGGTGGAAATATTCGAGTTTTTCATTCCGCTGAGATCAAAGTTTATTTTTCACGTTTCAATTTCTAAAAATGCCTAACGGTCTCCGCACAGTGGTTGTGGATGAAATAACGAATAACGCCTACTTTGTTATTTCTGTTCTTGCAGATGTGCAAAGTAAAGTAAAACGAAGGAAAAACAAAATAATTTTCTTAGAAGTGTTACTTATAATATAACGTAAATTTATTTAATATACACCGTTTCCTTACCGAGCCTATTGTCTCACCCATTGGCAGAAAGCATGTACTTCCAGCTGCAAAAGTGTTTTAAATGATTCAAAGATTCATGTTTTGGCATTTTAAATTTAAAAGACATCAAATTTGTAAATATTGCGAAATATACCTTTTCCTTTTACATTCTTCTGGTACCTATAGTTATATTTAGAAAACCTTCGTACATGTTATAAAAAATAAAACCCAGAATATTTTGTTTCCTTCCGACAAAAATAAGTTGAGGTATTTTATTTCAAAATCAGCAGTTTTTGATGTCATATCCACATTGCATTGAAGGCTGAGTTAGTAAATAAATGAAAATAAATCGAGGATGTTTTTTTTCCTATTACTCAGTATTCCATGATCCTGTTTTGCGATTTCTTAACGTCTTTAATTTAATAATTTTATTACATCTGGAATGCCGAAGAAATTTTTACACAAATCGTTTTTAAGTTTTCAAAGTTTTAAAATGTGTTATGATTCTCTTGAAGTTTTATTACTTTAAGCACAATCTGTTAATCAAATAACAAATTCACTAAGATACAAATATTTTTCATTTTTAATTAATTCCAATAGTATTACAAGTTAGTTACTTGGTCATACTGAAGCCAGCCAGAGTATTTTAGAACACGAATTCTCTCATTTTCTGTGAATGAGATCTCTGTTTTATTAAAAAAAATTATTCAACCATATTTTTCACAATATTCTTCATAGAAAGGCTCGTCACGTAATGTCTTAATATTAGAAACATTTTTGTGAACAATGTATTTTTAGTTACGTGCAAATGCAAATATTTAGCTCTTCAATTTGTGTACGTCTCTTGAATACGATTCTTGATTGTAACATCAAATATCTCGATCACTTTGCGTACGTCTCTTTAATATGATTCTTCATTGTAATATCAGTTATCTCCCTCAATTTGCATTGTACGGGAGTTAAACGTTATGTGTTTTATTTTTTATAACGATTTTAAAATTTGCCTAAATAAAACTATTGGGACTATATGAACGTATAAGACGTTAGATTTAGTATTTTATGCAGCATTAAATACGAAAATATTAACCTTTGCATCAGTTAAAACACTTTTGTTAAGTGGAAGTACTATATGTCTACGGACAACGGTTCGAGAGTGAAGGCCGGGTAAAGACGTCTGTGGTCACGGTGTATATGTATGCATTTTGCAAATTAGCAGCATAACTTTATGGTACGAGTATACTGCAGATTACACTATCCACCAGTGACTGCGAAATGCGAAATATTCTGCCTTTTTTGGCAAAAGCTGGATATTAGAAAATTAATACCTCACGGTACGTTGAAAAGCTACTTTCGAACATCTCTATTACTTCTTAAATTTTTATAGGGCAACAATTTATTCATTGATGAATAATTTGATACTGCATTTCCTCAAAGCATTCCCAAATCAAATGCGTAAAAGTTTCAGATCACAAAATTTTCGCTACATATGTCTATAAATGTTTTAATGGAAACTCATGATATTTAGTACTTTCATTTACGCGTTATCTCGCGTGTGAGCTATATCACCCTTCCACAAATGAAACAATTAACATACACTTAACGGAATTTTAATTTTTGCATTTTCTTGGATTTTTGCGAATAATATGTGACAAAGTTACAATATTTTGAATTTAAAGTATAACAAATATTTTGCATACTTTAAAATAATTAGTTCTAGTTTAATAGTTTCAATTCTTTTTGTTAGTTACGCCGCTGCCGACGCTAGCTTCAGGTCGATGAAGGACCGAAACATTGACCAGAGTGTGATCATCACCGGAGAAAGTGGAGCTGGCAAAACAGGTAAACATTCTCCCCCAGATCTGTATTTCCATATTTTTAATTTTTTATATATTATATTATAGATTATATATATATATATATATATATAGATTATAGATTATATATATATATCTATATATATATATATATATTATATATTATTTATAAAAAAAATACATAATAAACCTATCCAAAAACTTTTGCAAATGCCTAAAATAAAAGCTGAACTATACAGCAACACTAAACATTTGTTGCAAATATTTCTAAGAGTTAACAACTGTATTCAAGTCTGTCATAGTCCATTCAAAAGTATTTACAGAGACTTTCTATTTTCACATTATATATTGAAATAAATAATATCTTCCGTAAACGTAAATTTTAATGCAAGAATTTAAAATTTCTAATGCCGCCCAGACTTTATGGTGGTTAGTAAAATTGACTACCATACCGTTGAGTCAAGGCTTGTAACCTTGTAAAGGCATGGATGCTTGTAACTGTATCGTGTCTGTGTGATATGGGGTTACTCAAAATACACCGTGAACCGAATGTCCTCTCGAGTGGTAGAGAAGAGGGATGGGAGACCTTTGGACCATCCCTCGGCGTCATGTCTTTCAAAATAGGAGAGGACCTGGGCAAAGCCTTGTTATCATCTATATGGTGCTCCAAACCTATGCCAACGACAGTCTTGAGCTCTTTGTTACGATAAAATTACGATAAAAGGACTTGTTCTGGTTATATCAGACAAACAAGATAAGCCACGACTGAAACAAGAGAATATCGAATACACGTTTTTTTATTCATAAAAGATTGAATGGTCTTTTTAAGTTGTGTAAATTAAAAAGCTAGTCATAAAGCTTTCACATTATCTATATTTAATTAATGCAAACTGAAATTTAGTAAACACTTTCTTCAATCTAGTATTTATTTACCTATTTTCATTTTTTTAAAATTAAATTTATTTATTTATTTTTATTTCATTCAAAGCATTAATTTTCTCTTGCTAATCCATATGGATGAAAAATACTTATTTCGGTATCGCTAAAAATTCTTCTTTCCTCCCACCCCCAAAATATGTAAACCATCACAAAATGTAACAGAAGTTAATTCGCTACGAAATTGTGAAGATTTTTCGAAAGGAAAAAACATGCTTCAAGAATTCGAAATCGAATGATTTCAGCTATATCTAATTTGATAACGTATGTGTTATGTTTTGGAAATGCAAGCAGATTAATTTTATATTGTAACAAAATTTGCCTGCTTATTATGTGACAATTTATATTTAGTAAATGAAACGTTCTAGATGTATCTCAATACTCTCGTTTGTAATTTGACGGCCATCAGATATCGAAATTATCCTCCGTTTAGAGGGTTAAGAATGAAACCATCGCAGTTTCAAAACACCGTGGTACAAAATATCGTAATAAAAATAAAGCAACTGATCATCATTGCATGATGCTAACATCTCAGACCTGTGTTTTCTGACTTTAAAAAAATGTTATTGAATTTTCGCATAGTACTTTGTGGGCACCAGAAATATAGTTATACTTTTACTTCTGTATTTTATAGTTTTGGATTAACAGATAAATACTTACTGGAAAAGCAAGAAAAAAGCTTAAGCATTGGAAACCTGGAAATTAGCAAAACCTAATGATACGCATAGTTGTTAATAGAATTTTAACTTATTATTTATTTAACTTTTTATATAATATTTCTTCATAAAACTTCTACTAATATGTCTTTATAAAAGTAACCAATTAAATAATGTCTTCAACAATTAAGTTAATTCTATTAACTCTTCTACACAGCATTAAATTTTACTAATTTCCAAATTTAGAATGCCCAGATTTCCTTCCTTTTTAAGTAAAAATTTGTTAATTTATACAAAATATGAAATATAGAGGTGAAAATATTACTTATTCCTTTTTGTTAAAATTCAGTTAATATTTTTATAGTCAGTAAATGAATATCTGAGATATTATCGCGATGCGATGATTTGTAGGTGCTCTATTTTTCATCATGATATTTTGTAAGAACGATGATTTGAAGCTCCAAAGTTTTTAAAACAGCTTTAGTTTCTACCACAATGTTTCAGAACTATGATATTTTCACTTCATTTTCCTTTCTCCCACGATATTTTGTACAACGACGTTTCCCCCATACGTTGTTTTCTCCGTAACATTTTCATCCACTATGTTTTCGGTGGACTCTTATATAGAGTTGAACTTTCATCACATTTGGCTTAAATTTTCTTGGATAATTTTAGATTACAGCGTCATAAGCGTAATTCCTCTCCAATAGTTGAAATGACAGATATTAAAATTTTAATCCTCAGTCAATGGTTATTTTGTTAAGTAGGTAAAAAGAAACCAATTGAACATCATTTTCAAAAAATTTGTAGAAGTGTTTAATTTTATAGCAATTTCTTCTCAGAGATTAACATTCGTTACCTATATAAATGTTCTCTTCTAATCTTAACTAAGAAGAAAAATATTTTATTCATGTAATTCGTTTGAAGTTAATTACAATCCCATGCTAAAATAAATTTTTAATGCTACTTTCTTTTCCTGTATGGATGTCGTATTTATTGACAAGCAAACTGTAATTGCAATTTCGATACGAGAATTTCTTCGCAAAATTCTTAGCCTTTGAAAGAAAAAGTCGCACTTTCACATTAAACCGTCAAATTATCTTTTAGGGATAGATTGGCAATATTTATTATTAAATATTTAATGTAAATCTTTAACTGAAGCATAAAAATTGTAAGCTACGTCCGGTTCTAATTGTTTTTATGCATATATTCTTCGATTTTCTGAAATTAAATTTTCGATTTAGATTAGATCCCTTCCTCATCTTTGAATGACACACCAAAGATATTGTTTGCAGTTCCAGCGGAAAACTAATAACAAAAATAAATATATAAAAAGATTTTCCGCACCACTTGGAATTCTGCAAATTATGCGATATTGTTTCCCTTCCAGCAACGCTTATTTTATTTGACTGAAAACAAGTTTTTTTTTTCTTTTTGCACCCTCTTTCACGCTTTGCACTCTTCAACATTTAAATTCTTTATGCTTTTCTGCTGCGAATTACGAAGGAAGGCTTCATACATACCGTGACTGAATGGTTTCGTAGCAACATACCCATCCCCCTCTTTTTCTCAGGCAATGACAACCTTTTTGGTAATTTTAATCTTGGGAGCAACTCGACCCCGCAAATCAGAACGAAGCATTATATTTTACGTCTTCTGAAAGCGAAAGAATTCGGTAAGACTTGCCTTCTGCAGCTCAAGATTTATCGCCTGCCTGCTGGAGGCAGATCGCTTGCTCTTCTCCATTCTGGCGGAAATCTTCTGCGCCTGCGCTGCTGTGATTACAGATAACGGAGAGTACTAAGAGCGACAGTGATATGTTCTGATAGATTGCCTTCTACTCCTTTCGGATTCACACATACATAAACGACCGCCTATCTGGTGTCCTCAGTGTCTTTCCCGATTCAGACTGTTAGGTTTCTTATGTGAAATATTAATCAAACCATAACCATCTTTTCCATTTAACGGCAGGTTAATAATATAAAACTGAAGACGAAAAGTTACGAATCCACGTGAAGTTAAAAACCGAAAATTATGAAGAGGTTTGTTTTAAATATTATCTTGTTCTTAGAGGCCATCGTTTGTATAAATTTATATTCGATGAAACCATAAAATTATCAATGGTAGCTAAGAATTATAAATAATGGAACTGATTTAAAAATCAAAATTACTGTCTAAAAAGAGAAAAGAAAGATTGAAAATGCATATGAAAAGGTACAAAATATATTCTTATAAAATAGCTTTATTCTTTTTGTAAAAGTTGGATTAACAGTAATTTATTCTTGAAAAAGTAGTAATTATATACTACAATGAAAAATATAAGAGACCCTCTTTAGCAAATTAGCGTTTGAGAAATCTGTTGTACTAGATGATGCTCAATATTTCCGCGTTATGAAATATATTGGGCCATCCAGTAAGTTCCATGGGTTTTTGATGATAAATACAAATGAAGCAGAAAATCACAAAAGGACATTTTAATCTATGACTTTTTGCCATTCTCTAAGGCAATTGTAAAATTCCTTTAATAAAAAATGTCATTAGATTTATTCGTAAAGATGTTGTCTAGGTGCTATTTGACAGTCTCTAAAGGGATGAACTCCAGACCATTCAGAGAATTTTGAAATACTTGAAAAAGAGTAAAATCTGATGAGGTAAGGTCTCGTGAATATAGAGAATGCCACAAAATGTCCCAGCCACATACAATAAGTCTTTGTCTGATATTCATCGAAATTAGGGCTGAGAATTGTCATGAGAGAAGATAACACCATGACGATTGGTCAGTTCTGATCACTTTGCTTCGTTCTCTGCTTTTAAAACTGCTATTTGGGAATAATCGTTTTCTTCCAAAGTGTTGCCTAATTTGTTACTTCATAATGTACAATTCCTTGTATTTCACCATGCGCACAAAGCCTTAATTTTTAGGATGCAGCCCCCTCTCGATGTAACTAAAGAAATTTCATACATACCCTGTGGTCTTCTTCTTGTAATGTTATTGTATCCACTTCTCATCTCCAAGCTGTTTCAAAAAAAACTTTTTTTCTGTTCAGCTGAAGTATAGGAACACCCACACATCATAGCAACCTACATAACGAATTTTCTTCAAATGATCATAAACTGTAGTTTTTAGAATATTTAGTCTATCTGATAGTTCTTGAATTTTATAACATGGATTTTTCAGAGATAACATATTTAGCAGGTCCTTATTGACAGCGGATGGTCTTTCAGAATAGGCATCCTCTTTGAGGCTGAAATTTCAGCTCCTAAACTTAAAGAACCACACATTCGAACTGTATCATCAGAACAGCTCTTTGTCATCATGCAGCACAAATTTTACGAGCAATCTAACCAGCATTTTCTTATGCTTTTAAAATAAAATAGCATAATATGACGAGTTTTCCGTTCTTATCACTGCGCCGATGCAAAACTAATGCTG